CATAACGTACTGAATTGAGCCTAGAATGATGTCTGCCCAGTTTCGAGAAAATCGGCCCAGATTCAGATATAGTTTCGTCCGATTTCATGTAAATGGTGCACCAAAGTCCCTATATATCCTTCGATATATTTGGATAGAGCTTCCATATATATTTTCGCCCGATTTTAAGTAAATTGGACATCAAACTCTTCATGCTAGTCAGGTTGACATCAAATTTTGCACAACGTAAAAAATTGAGCATAGAATTACGTAGTTGCGTTTTCTAGAAGTACAGACATAGCCCAACAGATAACCTATTTATATTTGATTGAAGTCGATTTATATAACTTATGGATATATAGGTAGATTCACATTTAGATAAATATCACATATTTTATTTCATCCAATTTCATGTTAATAGTCCTGTTTAATATATCCATAGTGGTGAAGGGTATCATATAGTCGGCCCCGTCCGACTTTACTACTTTCCTTACTGGTTAATGTAGATTTTTCCTAAAAATACCAAAAAGTGGACCAACATAGGCGACGCATGGTTGGTGGAAGTTGCTGGTTCATTATAAAAATTTTGATTGCATAAAAACATTGTATGAGTACGACCGTGGGGGGACCAATCCGTCCGTCCGTCCGTCTGTCCATGTTAAATTGTAAACAAAGTACAGGTCGCATTTATATTCCGAATTGGATGAAATTTGGCACAGGACACTTATTCAGCCCAAGGACGAACCCTATTGAAATTGGGAAAAATCGGTTCAGATTTAGATATAGCTCCCATATATATTTTCGTCCGATTTAAGGTAAATAGTGCACCAAAGTCCCTATATATCCTTCGATTTGCATGAAATTTGGTACAGCGTACTGAATTAAGGCTAGAACGATGTGTAAAATTTCGTAAAAATCGGTTCAGATCTAGATATGGCTCCCATGTATATTTTCGTCCGATGTTATGTAAATAGTGGACCACAGTATTATATAATATTCGATTTGCACGAAATTTGGCATAACGTACTGAATTGTGCCTCGAATGATGTGTATTAAGTTTCGTGAAAATCGGTTCAGGTTTAGATATAGCTCCCATATATATCTTCGTCCGATTTTATATAAATGGTGCACCATATATCCTTGGATTTGCACGAAATTTGTCCTAAATTGTGTCGAGAATGATTCCGATTAACACGAAATTTTGAACAATGTATCAAATTGGGGCTTGAATGACGTTACTGCGTTTTGTTGAAATTGGGGCAGATGCAGTCATAGCTTCCATATGTATTTCGAACGGGTGTCTGATTGAAATACAATTTTATCAGTGCCGAATAGCGTGTATAAATTTTGCTATAAAACGTTTTCCATAAATTTGTCCCATTTGTAAATTTATCATAGGTTGCAGAAAGACATGCGTATGTTTCTTCGAGGGAACATTGGCATGCAAATATAAGAATACATATGTGCAATATACCTAAAGTGTTGAAGGGTATCATATAGTCGGCCCAGTCCGACTTTACTACTTTCCTTACTGGTTTTTTATCTCAATATCCTCAGCAGGTAGAATGATTATAATAGAGTCTTAGAACTACAGCCAACATACGGAACAAATCAGATAATTCAGACTGGGTCGACTATATGATACCTTTCAACACTTTGGGCATAGTCTACATATTAAATATTTATCTGTAAGTGAACTCACTAACATCACTTTCAACGAAACTTGCAAGAGATTAATTTATATTAACTTCAGTAAATCGGACAATCTTTAGGGGTTTAGTGTACAATTTACCTTAAGGGTAAATTGTAAATTTTTTCAAGATTTTCAATGGGCTGGTAAATCAATACCAATGCTTGTTAAGGTTTGTAACTTTGCACATATATAATTGAAGATTTAAAAAAGAAGAAAAATAATTTACAAAAAAATTTTGTTATTGTTTTGTTGTTGTTTTTTGTAATTAAAGAAAAGTCCTTATTTTTGATGGCGGGCATGATAACTCCTCACTGGAACATCGGAATCCGAAAATTCCAACGGTGTTAGAAAGAGTACATGTCTGACTCTCGTATGAACTAGGATTATTGACTTCGCTCTAAAATTAAGAAAATGGTGGCCCTTTGAAAAAATATTTTTGAAAAATCGCGGATTTTTTACCAAAAACCAAGTTAAAAAATAAGGAAGATCTTCACCGATTGGCTTTATCCTAGTTCCTACGAGAGCTATACACTCCCAGAGAAACGTTGCAAAATTTGGAACCGATTGGATTATTAGTTTTTGAGTTATCGTGCCCGCCATTCGCAAAAAATGTTTAGAGAAAAACGCGTTTAAAGTTTGAGAAGCCCTTCAGCCGTCACTTGATGCTGACACAATTAATCGGATATATCTTCAACAGTTCTTGAGATTTTCACTTGAAATTTTGTAGAGACATTCTTTAATCAGTGTAGATTCGAATTATATCAACAAAAATTTTGACCCCGAGAATGGGGGGGATCCCCTTAAATCGGACGAAAATATATATTTGGGAGATATTTTTGCTAATTTCAATAGGGTTTGTCCTAAGGCCAAATAAATGAAATGTGAAATGTACATTGTTTACAATTTAACATGGACAGACAGACGGACGAACATGCATAAATCGACTCAGAAAGTAATTCTATGCATATTTTCAAAAGGAACCATGTGCCTATCTCGCGTCCTTTTGGCTGTTATAAACATATGCATATGGGTATAAGTCGCTATTTTGAAAAGTTTGGACACGTTTTTCAACCGAATTGGCTGAAATTTGGTAGTTTGTATTATCATTTGCTGTAAAAGCTCTCTACCAAAAATTATCAACATTGATCTCGGTTTAACGGTAGCCTTACTTTGACATATTTTGAGAATGTTTCTTTATGTTCAAGGTCCTATCATAACATGCGTTTTCTCCTAGGAACCCCCATTGATTTAGGATATTTTGATTGTCATCCTCATTGTGAAGGGGTATAAAAAGTTCAGATACGACATATTTCATGGTTGACGAAGCACCCGAAGATAATTTTTCGTCATAATTCCGGATCATTTCAAGGAACCAATAATGAACAGTGGAACCACGTTGTTCATGATCGACTGGTTTGAGTTATTGTGTTAATCTATATTTTTAGTATTGTGCACGAGCCTTAATTTTCACACCACTAACATTTTCCAAACAGGTCGAAATTTGAATTATGGTGTTCTCATATTTCAATTATCTATATATATAAAAATGAATTGCTGTTCGTTAGTCTCGCTAAAACTCGAGAACGGCTGAACGGATTTTTCTTATCTTAGTCTTGAAATATTCGTGGTGCTTCAGGGAAGGTTTAAAAGGTGAGAAATAATCGAAAACCGCGAAAAAATTGCAAAAAATATTATGAAGCATTGTCAATTTTTTTTTAAATTTTCAATGTATGTACATATTTTATTTTTTTCAATTGGATTGTCATTGTATTGAAAATATTTTAGGTGAGAATACAAAAAAAAAAAATAATAATAATTCAGAAGGATATCATTGAATGTACACGCGATCATTGTATGCACACGTTTCACGAATTTATTGGGGCAATGCAAGAATTGAAAATCAGAAGACATTCGGAATCGAGATTGTGTCCATTCAGAGAATTCTAATTCTAATATCCATCCAGTCAATGACATATTGCAGCAACTATAATGTGAAATTTTGGTAGGAAGATTTGACACCACATGAGAAAATGCCGAACAAAGGGGAATAACATATATGGGGGCTATCTGAAAACTTGGACCAATAGTGATAATTTTTGCTAAGAGAAGCTCCCCAAAATGCCGAATATTGCGGGTACCGTTGGCCAAACCTCCGAACGCATCGAATAATGTGGAGTATCATTGTATGGGGTCTATTCGGAAGCTTTCGTGAATATTGATAGGTACATTTTCAACAAAATATAAAACAAAATATAAAATTATTGCGAAATACGAATTCAATTAGAAGGTAAAACCAGAAAGGAAAGAAGTAAAGTCAGACGGGGCCAACTATACGATACCCTTCACCACTTTGGATATATTCTACATATGTCTCCTAACAGACGTCACCTTTTCGAAAGAACACTTTCATGAAATTGAACGAACTTGAATAGGTGGTCTTTGTGCGATTCTGGAACCTATGCTAAATTTCATTTCATTCGGGAAAGTTTAGAGTCGTTTGAGTACAATGGGACTAATTTAAGTAAATCGATGTAGAGCAAACTTGATACACGCTATTCAGTAGGCCGCACTCTTCAAAATTTAATCTCAATCTGACACCCGTTTGAAATATATATGGAAGCATCTGCGCTAATTTTAACAACACGTAATAACGTCATTCAAGAGTCAATTTGATACGTAGTGCAAAATTTCGTGTCGAGCTATATCTAAATATGAAACGATTTCAACGTAACTTGCCAGAAATTAATGTATATTAACTTCAGTACATTGTACAAAATTTTGTGTCAATCGTACAAACTTTGGGTCTTTATAGCAGCTATATACAAATCTTAACCGATTTTCACGAAACTTAGCACATATAATTCTAAACTAAGTTCAGTACGCTATGACATATTTCATTTAAATCGGAAAATATATAGGGGTTTTGGTGCATCATTTAGTAAAATCGGACGAAACTATATATGGCAAGTATATCTAAATTTGAACCGATTTTCACGAAACTTAGTGCATCATAATCCTAGACTCAGTTCAGTATGCTATGACATTATTCAAATTTATTGCGTGTGTGCTATAGCTTCCAATGTAACGATCAAAATCGGTATATGGCGAAATATATCTCTTACCCAGAAAAATTGTTTATGCAAGTATGAATAAAAAAAAGCAAAAAGAAAAACAAATCTGAAATACTGAAAATTATTTCTTAACAATATTGTTAAGGCAAGACAATGTTTGCCGGGCCCGCTAGTAATATATATTTAAACAATACACTAATCAAATAATTTTCCAGCTCATAAGCAAAAAATTAAATGGAGGTGGCGACGCTGCTAATATGATGCAAGGAGAATCTAAGAATAGTAACATTTTCATTGATCAAGCCATTGAACTTATGAGAAAGAATGTCTTTACAGCGCAGAATGTGGAAGATGAATCAAATACAATTGTTTTCGGCGTAATTTAAGCTCTATCAAAATTCAATTCCATTGTTAACGTTACATTTATTTGAAGGCTTTCGAAACGACGGCTAATACAATTGGATACGTTCTTATTTTGCTGGTGATGTTCCCCGAATATCAACAGAAAGTCTACGAGGAACTGTTAACCATATTTCCAGATGAAGGAGATTTTGACGTGACCTATGCAAATATTCAAGAAATGACATATATGGATATGGTTATCAACGAATATATGCGTGTACTGACACCAGTACCTTTCGTAGGACGTGAAAATTCACACGATATCGAGCTATCCAATGGAATAGTTGTGCCAGGTGGAGTACAATTTCTTATTAATATTTTCACCTTGCACAGGCGTAAGGATTTATGGGGTCCCAACGCTGACATGTTTGATCCCGACCACTTTTTACCATGTAACATGGAAGACAAACATCCATATGCATTTATTCCCTTTACAAAGGGAATTCGGAACAGTATAGGTAGGAGGTCAACAATTTCAGCAAATAAGATTTATTTTTATAATCATTGAATGTTTCATATAATACAGGATGGAAATATGGGCTTATGTCAACGAAAATAACTTTGGCAAAGTTATTAAGGAATTTCAAGTTTTCCACGGATTTCCAGTACGCCGATTTGGAGTTTACTTATTCAATTGTGTTGAAGTTAAAGCATATTCCAGTTTTGCGAGTTGAAATAGATAAATATGGATAACTAAAAGAGGAAGGAAAAACGTTCAAATTCTGTAATTTGATATATAGCTTCATAGTTCAATAAACCAAGTGATACAAAAATATTTATTGGAAATTACTAAAGAAAGACGCCGGTTTCTTTCCTTACTGGTCGGATGGGGCCGACTATATGGTACCCTTTACCACTTTGGGTATATTCGAAAGATATATCCTGAAAGACGTATTTTTTGTGTAAACACATTGACCAGAAATTTCGGGCTGATTTAGAGTCGTTTGTGCAAAATGGGACTATTCGGTATGCCGCACTGTTCAAAGTTTAATCCCAATCAGACACCCGTTCTATATATATATATATATAGAATCGTTTTAGAAAAATAGTCAGGCTGAATCCCAGTTTGTTGTTTTTATAAAAAAAACAAATATTTATTAGTGGGGAATGTATGGCATTGTCCGCCGAGGGGTAAGGCAGGGAAGACTATAGTTTCGGATCTCGCCACTGATCCTCATCAGAATCTCTATCTGCATCTGCACCACTTTCAACAAAACGCAGTAACGTCATTTTAGTCTCAATTTGATAGGTTTTGCAAAAATTACGTGTCAATCGAACAAACATTACTTCGGACGAAATACATATATATTTTCGTCCGAAGTAATGTTTGTTCGATTGACACGTAATTTTATTTATATTTAAATCTGAACCGTTTCAAGGAAAACTGCAAGAGATTAATTTATATTAACTTCAGTAGATTGTACAAAATGGTATGTTAATCGGACAAAGTTTATGTCTTTAGTACACAATGTACATTAAATCGGACGAAAATATATATGGGAGCTATATCTAAATCTGAACCGATTTTCACGAAACTTAACACAAATTATTCTAGAATTACTTTAGTACGCTATACTAAATTTCGTGCAAATCGAAAAATGTACAAGGAATTTGGGTCACCATTTATATTAAATCGAACGGAAAAATATATGTGAGCATTATCTAAATCTGAACCGATTTTTCTCAATTTCAATAGGGCTAAATAAATGACATGTGCAAAATTTCATTGAATTCGGAACAAAAAGGGACAAATTATTAACAGGTTTTAGTTTTTTGATACCGAAACATTTTAATGAACCGATTTTCACGAAACTTAACACAAATTATTCTAGAATTACTTTAGTACGCTATACTAAATTTCGTGCAAATCGAAAAATGTACAAGGAATTTGGGTCACCATTTATATTAAATCGAACGGAAAAATATATGTGAGCATTATCTAAATCTGAACCGATTTCTCAATTTCAATAGGGCTAAATAAATGACCTGTGCAAAATTTCATTGAATTCGGAAAAAAAGGGACAAATTATTAACAGGTTTTAGTTTTTTGATACCGAAACATTTTAATGGGGGTTACGTCTAAACATAGGTATATTTATAACACCTTCTGCAAAACAAATTTTCACCCTAACCAACACAACTTCCACTGAACTAGAACTCTCTGCAAATCTATATTCGTGATATTTGCACCATCTTGTCCGATTAGAGGTATTTGCACCATATTGTCAGCCGTTTATGCCATAAGACTGTTATTTGTTCATTTGAACCGCGAAATATTCAGCGATAATTATCAAAATACTCCGTAAAATTCTTTGAAACAGCAAAACTAGTGAAACAGCAAAACTAATGTTTTCGGTCCATTCGGTAGAAACATACGCCATAGAATGAAATTTTTGCTATTTATTACACAAAAGTTTGAGTCCATTGGCAGATTCTCCTTGGGCAAATCCCTTTCCCCACGTGCATTTTCAAGATGTTCGGGTCATAATTGTGGTAATTGATCAATTTCATCTTCTACGTTTTAATCGATTATTAACAATAACAATAGAGGTCTTCTTTGACTTGAACCCGTCCTACATGCAAAACGATTGGTCCATAACTGTGCCATTAACATGCAAATTATAATGGACAGACTCACACACATGTCGAGATCGACTCAGCTAGTCGAGGCATGACGATATAATTTCAGAATGGCATGTGTACGGATTGATTGAATTAAATATCTCTCCACAATAATACATGCTATCGATCCATTTTAATAATTATAATGCACAATTTGCAGACACAAATCAACTCATAACACGACTATTCATACGTACATATTAATTGAGTTGTACCCAAATGCTGCTCTGCTTGATCACTCTGTCACCAAGCATTAAGATAATTGTCATCTAATTGCTGACTATGTGTTCAAGTCCACTCAAAATACATACCGCTCATTTGCTGCAAGACTGACCTAATTAAAAAAATTGATTTTTGAGTTAATGACGTAGAATGGTTCGGTGTATTAGTTTTGTAAAACTATAATGTTTTTCTACAAACTTGTTTTTATACCCTTCACCACACTGTGGTACAGGGTATTATGTCTTTGTGCATATGTTTGAGAATATGCATAGAATCACTTTCTGAGTCGATTTACGCATGTCCGTCCATGTATTTTTGTGAACAACGTACAGGTCGCATTTATGATCCGATTTGGATGAAATTTGGCATAGGTCAATTATTTGGCCCAAGGACGAACCCTATTGAAATTGGGAAAAATCGGTTCAGATTTAGATATAGCTCCCATATATATTTTCGTCCGATTTAATGTAAATGGTGCACCAAAGTCTCTCTATATCTTTCGATTTGCACGAAATTTGGCACAGAGTACTGAATGATGTGTGCCAAGTTTCGTGAAAATCGGTTCAGATATAGATATAGCACCCATATATAGTTTCGTCCGATTTAAGGTAAATGGAGCACCAAAGCCCCTCTATATCTTTCGATTTGCATGAAATTTGGCACAGCGTACTGAATTAGGTCCAGAATGATGTGTTCCAAGTTTCCAGAAAATCGGTTCAGATTTAGATATAGCTCCCATATATGGTTTTGTCCGATTCTATGTAAATGGTATTCTAAAGTTCCTATATTCCTTTCGATTTGCATGAAATTTGGCACAGCGTACTGAATTAAGTCTAGAATGATGTGTGCTAAGTTTCGCGATTTAAAGTAAATGGGTCTCCAAAGTCCCTATATATCTTTCGATTTGTCATAGGGAACTGAATTGGGTCCAGAATGATGTGTGCTATGTTTCGTGAAAAACGGTTCAGATTTAGATATAGCTCCAATATATATTTCCGTCCGATTTAATGTAAATTGTGCACTAAAGAACCAAAGATTGGTCGACCCGCACACAATTTTGTACAATGTACTGAAGTTATTATAACCTATATATACTTTCGTCCGATTGGCCGATTGGCAAAACGTACTGAAATTAGTATAAATTCATGTTCATTGTAAACCAAATAATCAATGGATGCTTGATTGATATTACATTTTAAACAGTGAAGCATACCAAATAGCGTGCGTAAAGTTTGCTTAAAGTCTATTTAAAAATTATGAAATCAATGTTCCTTCGAAAAGACGACATCTGTAGAATATCCCCAAAGTGGTGAAGGGTATCATATAGTCGGCCCAGTCCGACTTTACTACTTTCCTTACTGGTTTATATTTATGTCAGTCTTGCGGCAAATGAACGATATTTCGTTGTCGCCAAGCGAACATATCAATTAATAAGTGTGAGGTTTAAATGCTTCACACCTTTTGTATTTCTTTCGACATCCAATGCTTGTTGTTACAATTCTGCTGTAATAAACGGCACACAGTGGAGAAACTTCAAATCTAGCTTATGAAAATCAAAGTCAAGCCGAGATGTTTTTGGTGCCTATGAAGCATGATCAATTTATAACGACGTTTACAATATTGGATCGAATTATTGAGTAGTACTTATAACGTACTTTATTTATAGCGAACACATTTCCTGGTACTGACGAAGTAGTTATTCGGTCCCTACTTTTACTTTTCATTTATTTTAGTTTGTTTATAAAAAATATGATACAAATATAGTTCATACTTTCATTTCATTTTTACGCTACCGCCTACCTGTAACGTCAAGTTCTTCTTCAAAAAATGGAAAACCAGTAAGGAAAGTAGTAAAGTCACTTCACCACTTTGCGTATATATTCTATATGTCTCCTAACAGACTCCGCCTTTTCCAAAGAACATTGACATGAAATTGAACAAACTTGCATATCTGATCTTTCTGGAACCTATGTTAAATTTTATTTTCTTTGGGGCAAGTTTAGAGTCGTTTGCGTACATTGGGACAAATTTATGTAAATTAAATAACCGTCAATTAAGTAACCGTTTGTAATATATATGGAAGCTGTGTCTGCATCTGCACCAATTAAATAAAAACCAGTAAGTAAGTGTAGTAAAGTCGGACTGGGCCGAGTATATAATACCCTTCACCACTTTAGGTATATTGTACTTATGTATCCTTACAATTGCATCCCAATGTTCCCTCGAAGGAGCAAACTCATGTCTTTCTGCAACCTAAAAATTTAATCTCAATCAGACACACGTTCGGAATATATATATGGAAGCTATAGCTGCTTCCATATATATATATATATATATATATATTGAAGGACGTAATAACGTCCTTCAATTTGATATGTTGTGCAAAATTTCGTGTAAACCGGATAAACATTAGGAGGTTGGTGCACCATTTATGTTAAATCGGACATGTGGGAAATCAGAATCGACTTTTCCGAAACTTACCACTCACTACTCAGTTCAATATGCTATGCCCAATTTCGTGTACATCGAAGGTTATAAAGGAACTTTGGTGCACTATTTACATAAAATCTGACGAAAATATATATATGGGAGTAATATCTAAATCTGAACTGATTTTTACGAAACTTGACACACATCACTGTAGACTTAATTTAGTACGCTAAGTCAAATTTCCTGCAAATCGAAAGATATATAGGTACTTTGGTGCATCATTTACCTTAAATCGTACGAATTTATATACGGGAGCTATATCTAAATCTGAACCGATTTTTCCCAATTTCAATAGGGTTCGTCCTTGGGCCAAATAAATGAGCTGTGCCAAATTTCATCCAATTCGAATCAAAAATGCG